AGATCCCCTTACCGGTCATCTTTTTAAAAAAAAAAAAAAAAAAAAAAGAACAAATTTTAGTTTATTTTTTTTTGGCGACTGGCCAGTTCAGAGATCTGAACACTCGACCTTGGTGTTACAACACCATGTTCTGTCTAACTGAGCCAACCCGCCAGCCCTCCTCTTTTGTATCTATTTTATTTATTTATTTATTTTTTTAAAAGATGACCGGTAAGGGGATCTTAACCCTTGACTTGGTGTTGTCAGCACCACGCTCAGCCAGTGAGCAAACCGGCCATCCCTATATGGGATCCGAACCCGTGGCCTTGGTGTTATCAGCACCGCACTCTCCAGAGTGAGCCACGGGCCGGCCCTATTTTATTTATTTTTATAACAAGTTCTTTATTGGGTGACAGAAATTGCCTAATCACTCGAAGTCATCTTATTTTCGTCAATTCAAATAGATTATTTGGAATAATTGAAAGGAAATAAGCATTTTCCTCAGGTAAAACATTGATATATTTGTCTTGTTTTTAGATCGAATTTATTTCCTAAATAAAAGCTGCTACATTTTCAGGCATTGCTTCCTAAGACTTAATTTTAAATTACCAATTATCTTCAGTTTGTTCAAAAAGTTATTTATTGGGAAATTTAGAACTAGTACTATTCTTACTTAATGTGTTACATGCTAATCAAAAAATAAATAATGTAGATCCTTACCGGCCAGCTTTAAATAATAATAATAATAGTTTAACTCCTTGAAGTTATTGGAGCACTTTTGACTTTTCCATAACAAGGCCAGGGATTCCCTGATTTGAGTGCTTTGTTTTGCTTTTCCTCGGACAAGTAACAAAACTAGTATGTGTTTAATTAAGCAAGCCCAGCTGTCTCGATTGCACAGTTATTTCAGCTGCATCAATTTTGTCCGCATGCCTCGCGTGTGTTTTGGGGTGGGAGTGGCTGCGACTGCTTTCGGACACAAGCCCGTTGGACCGTCGGGGCTCGCCCAAAGCGGCTGCGACACTTAGGTGGAGACCAGGAGCGGGCAAGGACCGCCAGAGTCGCGAGGGGTCGCAGAGTCCCTGGGACCCTGACCGGCCCCGAGTCCCCCTGCAAGAACAACCCGCCCGGCCCAAGCACGCGCAGCCACGCCTCCTCCCGCCGCTTCCGCGGTCTCCGGGGGCTTTCTCCCAGCCCGGCGCGGGGCTGTCCGCGGCGCCGCCTGACCTGGCGAGAGCTTTACTGTGAGGACAGGCTGCCCCTGGCGCGGTTTTCCAAGACGTGCTGTTGAGGCCAGGAAGGAGGCACACGTGTAGAAGGCCGCAGAGGGGTGGGTCGTGGCTGAGAGGAGGCGGCCCTGCCCCGTTGTGGGGTTGGGCCTGCAGGCGCTGCAGGAGGCGCCCGCGCGGGGTCCTCTCTCGCGGCGGGCTCGGAGCGGGAGGCCTGATCAGGGAGCTTTGGCAGCCCCGCGATTTAAGGAGCCTGGACGCGGCACTATGGAGGAGCTCGATGGCGATCCGGCAGTCACTGTAAGGGCGCCCGGAGAAG